TGAAACGGATCACATTATTTATTTAACATTTAATTAATTTAATAACAACAAAGAAAATAATTCCGAGAACATTCCTAGCGTTCAGTGGAATGTCGTTGTTTTTGACAGCATTCAACAGAGAAAACTTATAATACTTACATGTAAAGGTTGAGCAAAATTATCGGCACAGTATCTAACGTCGTAACATCGAACTAACATTTCTTCGGATAAATATAGTATATATTCATTTGGTTCTTTCTCATGATATATTTCCATATATTCTATAAGATTGTCTTCTAAATAATCGTTTTTAATTATATATAAATTATGCAATACATAACAAGCAACAATGAATTTAGACATTTTAATAACAGACAGATTTTAATAACCACATTTCTAAACGAATTAATTGTCTAAATCTATTTTTTAAATAACCATATGTATTTTGTATTTTTACTCTATCGGCACAAAATATCTTTTTGAATGTTCTTTCTATTTCATTTAAAGTGCCATAATCTTTATATGGTGTTATTAAATTTATGGATAGAGGATATGCAGCATCTCAGATTATATGATAATCATTTCCCATTTGACACACTTTTTCTCAAATAAAGGACATTTTATAGACAATACTCAAGCATCATGTATTTTATTAGAGATACCTGTAAAAACATCGATAAACATTTTGAGCATCGCATATTCCTTGTAAGGTAATAGCTGTCTGATGATGTCGATTAACATATGTGGATCTAATTTTATCACATGGTGTTTGAATAAGTATGTATGTACCATCAATGCATCCAACAATACCAGAAGTTCCACATATCTGAAAATAATAAATTAAACATACAAATTAATTTAACTTTTATAGTGTGTACAAATAATTATCGAGAAAAGTATTTATTCTATATTCTTCTATAGTCTATATATACTTTAGTTTATTTTGTTAATATATTTGCATATACATTTTATATTTGTACATTCGATGAGGGAGAAATATAATTTCTTTTTAAATAAATTTAGAAAAGATTCTTATTATACCTCCTTAAATTTTGTTACACATATATTTCTTTCTTCAGCAGTTTGAGGAAATTTGATTATTGTTGAACTCAAATCATACAAAAAATTAATTACTCTATTTATTATATAATGTGCAGTAGATATACTAACATCAAACAAATCTGAAACATTACGTATTACACATTTGTTGTCTGCAAACCTAAAAAGATAAAAATAAGAAATAAATATTGAATTTATGTAAAATAGTTTTAAAAAAAATTATTTTTTATTATGTATAATAATGGTAATATTCTGTTTATATAACATATACCATAAAAAACAAAATATATTCTGTAGCCGTTTTTACTTTTCTACCTCTTTTGATTCTGAAGGACAATATTGGCATTCTTCGAAAGCATCAATAAGGAAATTGCATGTTTCATGCAATATACGAAAACGAGATTTAAACTAAATAAATAAAAATGTAACGCTATATTTGTGTAAAATTGTTCATATCAAAACATAATTTTCCATATTTTAAAATATAAAAAATTTTTTAAATAATAAATGCATAAATTACTAACCTCTTTATCATCATATTGTTCAATTACTTCAGTAATTGATGCTTTTATACGAAGTACTTTTTTTAGGAAATTTACGTATTGCTCTTGCATTTATTTGTGTATCTTCATCATCAGAACTATCTGATAAAAATAAAAACTTGAAAATAAAAAATCGCTACGATTTTCAAGTGGTTGTCCATTTTATTTTAAACGTTTCTGGTTTTGTAAGTTTATTATCAAAATCACGAGAACACTATTCAGGTAAAAACATAGCCTCGATCGAACACAATTTTGTGGCACAATCAGATTAATCGACCCGGATCGGGTTCAAACCCGCTCCATTCGAAAACGTTATAGACTCTAGGTGCACGTGCTCGGAAACTCGGGGAGTACGTATTTTTATACTGAACTGAGTGCGAGTACTTGCACTAACCTAGTTGTAATAATTTGTATGTATACTGACCCGACCACAGACTTTCATATATAGAAGTCTGTGGACCCGACTCAGCACCATAGTAACTTTTTGATTATTCCCTAGACGATTATTTTTTTGGTTTGTTGTAACTAGAATTGTTACTAAACTGTGTTACGACTGGTATCAGTTTTCGGCGCTAGCGGCGCTGCATTGGCTTGTGTCTATGTCCAATCGGGATGTTGTCAATCGATTCTCACTCCTTTTCATTTGCTCCGTAAATCAATGTATGCATCCAGAAGCATGACCGCTCACTGAACACTCAGTGAGCTTTTTTATCTGGTTGGCATATTCCATTAGATCTAAAAATATAAACCAAACAAATACAAGAGCTTATTGAGCGGTCGTGCTTCTGGAATCACCCAATACAATTGTTTTTTCTTTGCTACTTTCTGAATGTCAAGAAAGATAGAATGTTTGTATCGACTTGTGTCACTAAATAGGAGCACCTATATATGTCATTAAATAGCACCTATTGGCTTCGTTCAATGGGGAAAAATTATCAGACAGTGCTTAGTAATTTTTTAATTTCTACACTTAGGCCGGTATTCATAGTTAATTCTTATATTCAAAACCGTCTTAAGTTCAGTCTTGAGAAGTTACGAACCAATCAGAAGGCCGCTTTAACATAAGACAATACTTAAGGCAGTCATGAAATAAGAACCGACTATAAATACCGGCCTTACCCCCGTATTCATAGTCAGACCTTATACTTAAGGCTTCCTTAAATTTATCTTTAGATACTCAGTAGCCAATAAAATAATTCGTAGATCATCTAAAGATAAATTTAAGGAAGCCTTAAGTATAAGGTCTGACTATGAATACGGGGGTTAGATTCAGCGAAGAACTAAAGGCAAGAATCAATCATATTAAGCCGGTTCTACATTAGTTGCAAGCCGATCGCAAGTTTGTTACGACAGCCAATCTGAAGTATTAATTTCAAAATGCAAGCTTGAGATTGGCTGTTGCAACGAACTTGCAATCGGCTTGCAACTAATGTAGAACTGGCTTTAAAGAATCACTAATCGCTTAGGGTTTCCATAGAGCGCGTCTAGGTGCCTTTTCATACTGACGCTTAATGTTCATTTTTTAGCGTCAAATTAGGTCACGTGATCAAAATTGACGCTGGATATTCGTCAATTTTTATTATTATAATATTTTACGTGATGTTTCGACACTAAAAATGAGCGTCAGCATGAAAAGATACCTTAACGTCGTCTGTCGCGTCACAAGTTAGCCAATCAAAACATTCCATTTTATGATGCGTTTCTACTGAGCGCATTACGCACGTGTCGTGAGAGAGAGGGGGAGGGGGAGAGAGAGAGAGAGAGATCACATGTGCATAGTAGGTCTGTTCGCGTTGCTTGCACTTTTTGCACTTACTATCTTCGCTTTCTCTCTTTTTAACACCGAATATATATCTATCTCATTTTAAATGCAAAATTACTTGGCGATTTCATGCAATGCGAACAGACCTAATATATATGAATTTTGCAAAACAATTTTTTAAATTTATTGACGTAAAGTATTCGTAATTAAATTTTTTTTTGGCAATTCCGCCAGCATTCTATCTTCCTTGATATAAAGTAAAGTAGCATGACCTCTATTGTTTTCTTGTAGAGTTGGGAGTACGGTAAATAGCTTCAATTTCATCATTTCTTAATATACAGATATTATGACTCACACAGTAGTGATGGGAAAATTTGAAAAAATCGATATCGATTCTAAAAAAATCGTATAAGAATTTTTTACTCTTTTCTACATATTAATGTATAATTATCGCTTTTTGGAAAAACGAGGAAAATTTTGGAAAATAAAGGAGACTAGAAAAATCAGGAAAAGTTTAAAATAATTCAAAATTACTTATTATATCTATATATATATTTATATTGTATATGTGTATATATATTTTTTAAATTTTATAATAACATTTTTTAATTTTATAAAACCAAAAAATTGCTGCTGCAGCTAATTAAAAATGAAATCACTCAATTTTTTATTGCATTAGCCAATCTTTTTTGCTGCGATCACCAATACTTCTTATTTAATGAACTTAAAAATATAATTTTGGAAACCCGTTTTCCTTTTAACCGATTGCGTTTCTCAGTAATGATATTGGCTTTACTGAATAGTCTTTCACATGGCACGGAGGGCCAAACAATCAATTAGGCTGTATTTTCATGCACTCATAGCTGACGCTCAACGCTCGATTCGAGCATTAAACTAATAACGTAATCTTCTTCTTAGCGGGAGAATAGCCCTGTTGCGGGATTCTCTAAACTTTTTATCGATGATTATCGCTATCGTTAACTAGCGACAGCCAATGGCAGGACAATCCTAAAAGAAAACGCAGCTTTCATTGGCTGTCGTTAGTTAACGATAACATCAATTATCGAAAAAACGTTTAGAGATTCCCGAAACTGATCAACCAATCACAATAAATTAATTATTCTCATATTCGACTGCGATTAGCCAAAAAGAAACCGATTCTCTAAAAAAAAAGGAATCGATTCAGTAAGAATCGAGATTTCAAAAAATCATATAATAATCGATTATTTTGAGTCTAAAATAATCGATTTTTCGAGAATCGGAAAAGAATTTCCCATCACTATCGCACAGCATGCTATCACATATTTGCACATATTCCGCCATTAAGTCCACTCTTGAGGCTGGAGGCACATGAAGCGGTAAAAGTAAAAGCGGAACGGTTTTAGCGGTAGCGGCGGAAATCTAGCGACCAATCAGAGTTTTTCCGCATTTTTCGTATCGCTGCTTTCTAATCCCTATGTCACATTGAGCGGTTCTTACGGTAGCGGAACAAAATTCAACAAATCGTGAAATACCAATATAAGCAGAAAATATAAAGGTACTTTTTGATTGGTTGAATTTTGTTCCGCTACCGTATGAACCGCTCAATGTGACATAAGGAAAATATTTTTGCAGAAATGTGCAAGCGGTAATGTATTTGTTATTATCTTCTCAAGAAGAAAAGGACAGTGGTAGAGGTTATGTACAGGATTTCTTCTCCGTGTCAATTTTTTATCACTTTTTATTAGTTCTGTGAGTTGATGTGTTTGAGCGCATCATGAAGACAAAGAATATTTTACTGTTTATCTGTAAATTACTAATTTCACGCAAGAAAGTATATTGCGTGTTTAAGAGGGAGGCAATCCGCAAGAAAATATTAAAATTATATTCATTGTACATCATTCAAAAAACTATTGAGAAACGACGTTACAAACGTCAATTTTGGGTACGTCCAATATTCACGGAGGAAAGGAGATTAATGCAAGGCGCAAGTGATAACTTGGCACGAGAATTGGAAACACTTGACCCTGAAAAATTTTTTAATTATTTCCGAATGTCACATGCTATTTTTGAAAAACTTTTGAACATTATTGAACCATTCATTACTAAAACGCACGTTGTTCGAACACCAATACCTGCACGCACTCGTCTGCAAGTAACTTTACGATACTTGAGTTCAGGTGACAGTATGGTTTCTATATCATATGCATTTCGAATAGCACATAATACAGTTTCTCTGATAATCAACGAAACATGCGAATCAATTTGGAATTCCTTAAAACATCGAGTATTTTTACAACCCTCCTCGAATAATTGGGAAAAAGTCGCTGAAGATTTTGAAAGAATCTGTAACTTTACTCATTGCATTGGAGCCCCTGACGGAAAACATGTTGTAATACAGGTATATTTGTTTTAATATTTTTTAATTTATTCTTCATTATGAGTAATATGTGTTTCAAGCGATTTTTTTCTCAATTGTCAGGCCCCACCTAACAGTGGATCGAAATATTACAATTATAAAGGCCAGCACAGTATCGTTCTTCTAGCCATCAGTGATGCTCATTGTTGTTTCTCCATGGTTGATATTGGTGGAGAAGGACGACAGTGTGACAGTACTATTTTTCAAAATAGTGAATTTGGCAAACGATTTGGCAACGGATCTCTAAATCTACCCGCAGCCAAAAATATTGCAAATACAAACGTAACATTACCATACGTATTAGTAGCCGACGAAGCATTCCAGCTAACACCGTACATGATGAGACCTTATCCACGCAAAGACTTAGGTATAAGAAAAAAGGTTTTTAATTATAGGTTGAGCAGGGCAAGACGGACAGTGGAATGTGCATTTGGTCTTCTTGCTGCTCGATGGCGAGTTTATGGAAAACCTATAATTGCGTCAGTTTCAACAACTAGGAATATTATTAAAGCTACAACTGCAATACATAATTTTGTAATGATCAGTGAAAGAGAATCAATTAGAATGTTGCCTCAGTATTCGCGGTACACTGCACAGGATCGAGCAATAATATCAGACGGCTTGAGGAACATATCACGAAGTGTATCATCCAATTCAGTGCAAGCAGTGAAAATAAGAGATGACTTTACAGATTTTTTCAACAACATTGGTGCAATGCCTTGGCAGTGGAAGAAAGTTTTAAATAATGACTTCTGATTATGTTTTTTATACATTTAAACTCAATTTTATTTGTATACATACATTCATATTATGTGTCTAAAGTGAAAATAAATTATAGTAATCTATGTGAGATAAGTTATTTTTCTATAAAGAATTTAAAATGCATTGTACACTTTCCTCCTCACAGTGATTATTATTAATGCTGGTACATACATATGTCGTTATTGTTGACATCAATATTATGATTGTTATTGTAAAAAAATGTCTTAATGACAATGTGAATTACACATTTTTGTATCGTAATTCATTTTTATATAGAAATTATCACAAAGGAAGAAAAATATGCTTTTTCAGAAGGTTTACTGTAACTGTAAAATAATTGTTAATTAATGTTCAATAAACTTCTATTTTTTAATATAAATAAAATAATATAATTAATAATTCTTTAAAACTGTACGTTAATGAAGAACCAACGTACAAGTATGAGCTGCGAATAAATATGAATATAAAATACTTCGACCATTACGCGAAGTACAAATAAATATATTCAAAATAATTTTGTTTTTTCTTGACATTTTAATGTAAGTTTATATATATATATTAAAATACATAATATAACAATACATAATAATAGTATATATGTATTAACATATGAATGTGTATACTAATATGTTTGAAACGTGTATCCTCTACGGTATTTCACTGTACTTTAGTTCCGCTTCTCTTAGTTGTTGTAGCCATTCAATTTCTAATTCCGTCCTTTTCCGGTATGGAAGGCGACGTAGTCCTTCGCCAAGTCGAAGCAATATGCCATCTACCGCATCCGAACCGACACGCTCTTCCCGCAAAGCATTCAAGATAGCAAATTGCACCTCTTCAGATTCCGGGCTCACTTTGGGTACTGCAAAAAATGAATATATAAGAGCAATGTTGATAGATTCAGGCTCATTTTTTTGTAAAAATATGATGCTAGATATAATGAAATGAACATCACTTACTCTTCGCTTTTCTCATCGGTAATGAACTTGATGCTAATAGATTACGCTTGACTGGTGGTTTTACGTATGCATTCATGGATGTTCTGTTTAGCGTAGTGTGGAAAGCACCTGGAGATGAGGATGGCGACACTATTGTATTCAAGTCCATATCATTTTCATTTCTGAATGGAGCGATGTTTTCCTGTTGTGGTGTGTGTGTGTTGTGTGAATATACTGATACATTTAGAGACTCCGAAGAAGAAGAAGCAGTAGATGAAAGTGGCAGAGACGAAATAGTACTGTAATAAAAGGATACATTAGATTTTCAATTTAATATATTACATATTATGTATTATGTTCAGTTTTCGGGAGCGGTTCACTTGCACACTATAGCTATTGCCCACTGCCTATCACAGCAACTTCTGCGTAGGGAATTTTTTTTTATTTCTTTTCTAGCGTTGTGATTGGCTTGTGCGCAACTGGCTCGTGTCCAATTAATATACACCCCAGTTTTCTTGTATCAAACATACATATCGCAACTTACGATTCTGTTTGTACAGAAATTTCCAAAAATTTCATTCGCTCAAAGAAGCGAAACGAATGTTTTTTTATTGCTTTTGCAGAATCTGTTGAGGATCCACTGGGAACATACTGTTTGCTTACTTTTCTTGCTTTCATGTATGCGTCCCGTAAATATTTCCAGTGATCTTTGACCCACTTTATGGTCATGTTACCTATCAAGAAAGGAAATATATATGGCTGCGTTCAGCAGAAAAAGCAGCTTTGCAACTGTTGTAAAATTTTTGAATATGATTGGCTTATACATTTAGATCTAATGAGGAAGTAATGGTAAGACCAATCATATTAAAGAATTTTGCAACAGTTGCAAAGCTGCTTTCTCTGCTGAACGCAGCCTATGTGTGTGTATATATATATATATATATATATAAGCGATTTAAAATTAGTACAATGGATTTCAAATATAAATGATTAAAAAATGGATATATGCAAAAAAGTTTCTCAAACAAAATTGTGTTATTTATAGATGTATAAGATCTATTATATTTTACCAATAAACAGGTGTATATTATACATACCACCTCCCATTTCATTTGAGATTTCTGCCCAAAGGGCATCCTTTTTTATATTTGTCCTCTCCTGCAATGGCAACGTATAATTCCACAAGCTGGGCCTTGCTTGGACTAGTTCTATTAATAATTCATTTGTTGTGTCACCTAAATATTTTCGATGTTTTGATGGAACAACCTCAGTATTCGAAATGTCATTTTCTTCATATGTGTTTCTTGGTACTACAAAAAATATATACTCTACATTACTTTTTTTATGATATGTGTATTAAAGTCTTAAGTTTTGCTTAATTCAAATTATTATCATATATATTATCAAATTATTATCATATATATTAAGATCCATCACGCATGTATTACCATTGTGTTGTTTAATGAAATTTATTAGGAATAAAGAAAGAATATACGTACTCATCCTTGCCACATGATCATTGTCCACCTGAAGTAAATGGAGATCTTCATTGTAATTTCGAAAACATTCATGGGCCTCTATATTACTGCAGGTTCCTCTCATGACCCACCCGCAGTAACCGCATTTTATGTGCTACCAAAATAAATTTTTAGATTAACTACATGCATTTAACCTCGATGTTATATCTCGATGCTCACTGATGTATTTTCACAAATTGTTAATGAACTATTATTTTAAAACAACGTTTACTCACCACATTTTCGTTATAAGCCATCTCCCCTGAAAATATACGTATAATACCCAATCTAAATCTAAATACGTAATTATTCCTTTTCAAATTCCTAAATCTTTCTTTGGTAGCAGCCGTAGCAACAAACAACGCTCTATATAGTAGCAAATTACATAGGCAATTTAAAGTGTTTCAACTTTTTTGCAAACACCGCGAAAACGCTTATGCAAGGAAAATCACGTGACATCACGGTTATCCGCGGCATTTTTTCAGATCCGCAAAATCAAAGCGGTACGAAAAATGCGGAAAAGCTCTGATTGGTCGCTAGATTTCCGCCGCTACCGCTAAACCGTTCCGCTTTTACTTTTACCGCTTCATGTGCCTCCAGCCTGACATAGGCAGACAGTGCAATAAACTTCTCATCCTCCCTTTAAGCAGACCAATCATGGTGGAAGTATACTTAGTGACTTTTCAGTTTCTGATCTGAAAACCCATGGAGAAGCTGAAATTGTGCCAACCCGTCGAAAAAAAAATGAAAAGTAATGTTGGCAAACTTGTTTATCTACTCGTCCTTGTCACACCCTATGCAATAGAGGAAGACATACCTATATACAGTACGTATATGAAGCGGAGCAAGTGAATTTATAACATTAAAATGGTGCGTTGCGTGGTTAAAGTTTGCAGAAACAATAGTGATCAGTGCCGTAAAGATGTAAGTTTAAAATACATTTATGTACATTTATGTCTCTAAAATACATTTATGTAATTTGTATACAAAATAGAAGTTTCCTATTCACTGAATGTGCCTAGAATTCTTGAAAAGTGTAATTAAATAAAAACTTCAGCGACAAAAGTTTTTATGCATTTTATGCACCACAGGCGAATCACAAGTTTAAAATTTTTATTTCATTATGCCTTTAATGAATTTTAAGCACCATTAGTGAATATGACACTCATATTTTCTTGCACAAATAATATTTATGTATTTTGGAGAGGCGTGGTAAGTCTCCAACATACAATCTTGCAACGGCGTAAGTATTAATGTGTTTTAGGGTCCGCTGGGGAATCACAAGCTTGAAATTTTTATATGTAATTACACTTTTAATGAATTTTAGGCACCTTTGGTGAATGACAACCTTACATTCTGTTGCACAAGTAATATTAATGTATTTTAGAGAGCCCTAGTAATTTTCAAACTTGAAAATTTGCAACGACACACGTATTAATGCATATTACAAACCGCTGGCGAGTCACAACTTTGAAATTTTTATTCCATTACACTTTTCATAAATTTTCGGGACCACTACTCAATATCAAATTTATGTTTTTTTGCACAAATAATATTAATGTATTTTAAGGGATCCTTAGTGAGTGTCGAACGCTAAATTTTGCAATGACAAAAGTTTCCAAGTATTTCATGAACCGCTGGAGAATTTGAAATATCGGCCCAAACAGCCAGGATGATTTCGTGGACTTTGAAGTTGTACTGTATTGATAATTTATGCATTACATACTCGAAGTATTAGAAAATATTAAATTTGCATTCTGCAAAGGCAATGATTCAATTTCGACTGTATCTTCATGTGTTCCTTCGTCTAATTTTAGAATCGATTGTCCATTTTTTGAAGAAGCCAAAAATATCCACTACTTTTAGAAGAAACTGGAAGTGATGTCTTATCAAATTTGATATTCTGTTACATCTAAGACATAAAACAAAAATTAAAATATTAATTATAATTAATATATCACAATTGTATAAAATTAGGAATAAAAAGGGAATATATTTTATAAATAATTTCACTTGTGATTTACTTGTGACGCATATATGGTATAAGAAATTGCATGTCACCCTAGTACTCCCAGTCAAATCGTAAGTTTTCTTTTACATTAACTCCGCTTCCACACTCGGCATTTTCTGCTTTAATTGCGCTAATTTACGACTGAATACAGTTCTCAACGATTTCTATTTCTTTTGCACTTCTATTTCTGAAATCAAAATTGATTAATTTTAATTAACGACTTAGCAGAGTAGTCAACAGCTTTAGTTTTATTTTGTCAATAAACAATTGCTTAATGAAAGTTAATTATAATAAAGCAAATAATAAATAAAATTATTAATTTGATAACCTCGACGCTGTAATTGAGGTTATGAATTAAAAGTAACGTCAAATTTTACATAAACATGTACATATAAACGAGAAGAAACGTACCTGTTCTATTCAGTAATACAGCAATTATTTTCCACGCGTTATCTTTTTTTCTTTATTCGAAAAATCTTTTTTGGTTTTATGAATTAGGAATTTATTTGCCTTTACATGTGCTATTATAGATCGTATTTCGGACTGATGCCATTTTTCTCCAACTTCAAGCATATCCCAATCATATTGCTCTTCAGTATCCATTTTTATGGACTAAATATCGGAATATGTATAAAATATAAAAAATGCTGCCGAAAATTATATTATAACCACACTTTGCGTAATTTCACTCTTCGCTGCTCTTCGCACTTTTCGTGAACGCATTTGATTGGTAGGTGTTGCGATCAACAGTTGCTGTCACCAAAAAGTTAAAAGTTGGACCATGGTGTATTACACCATGAGTTGGACAACTTTCCTTTAACAACCACAACTATTGGCTCCCGCAGACAGAACGCGGCAATGCTTGCCGCACAGCGGAAGTTGCCGCGATAGCCAATCAGCGTCTCGCCGGCAAGATATTGATTTGTTATCGTGCCAACTTCCGCCGCGCGGCAAGCGTTTCCGCGTTCTGTCCATAGAACTTATAAGTTCTATGGTTTTGTCTGCAGGAGCCATATTTATTGCAATTGGAAATAGCACTTAGCAACCAGTAATTACTAATTGCCATTTTTTGCGACTGGCAACGGGGTGTTGGCAACGTATTGTAGACCACCCATAAGTGGAACGCATCCTAGGTGCACGTACTCGGAGTACGTATTTTTATACTGAACTGAGTGCGAGTACTTGCACTCTAACCTAGATATAATAATTTGTACTGACCCGACTCAGGGCCGATTGTTTCATCTTTTGGTAAAGTTTACCTGTCAGGTAAGTAACAAGATTACCCAATCACATGCGCGAATTGCCAGATTTACCTAACGGGTAAACTTTACCGAAAGATGGAACAATCAGCCCTCAGTGCACAATAGTAACTTTTTCAACACCAACGTATATAATGGACGCGTTCAATGGATTTAACAGTTGAGCGAGCGCTCGCTGTTATTCTTTTAGATCATCCAATCAGAATTTTAGATTTAGAAGAATACACCAATAACAGAGCGCTCACTCAACTGTTGAGTCCGCTGAACGCGCCAATAACTTTCATCTTGTCTATGGCTCGCGCGCGGTTGTTTCTTTTGGTAAATTCTAACCTACCTATTAGATTGCTATTCAAAAGGTAACAATCATTTACTAGTGAGCTGACGTATTGGTTAAAGACATCGACATCTAGAATGGACCGCTGATGGTAGTGGTGGGGGTAGAAAGACAAGTAGAGTGAGAGGTAGAAATAATATGATCGTTCTTTCTCTGTTTACTGAAGCCTGATTGGTTGTTGAATTAACAACAACCAGTAGTAATCAGTGAAATTGAACTGGGGTTCGATTTTAGAGTCCACGTTTTGGGTCCGTTTCTACCAACGCGGTTTAAAAAGTTAATTTCTAGTGACACTCGGTTAACCAAAGTTTACTAGAATATTGGTTCTATCAATAATTTATTCAAGTTTAAACTTATGTAAACTGAGTTCTATTTAAGCCCGTTCTACAATAAATCGGTAGCCGTTGTCGTATATCGTGCCGTAAGAAATTGGCCAATCACAGTTGAAAACAATCAACCATGATTGGTTAATTTTTTACGGCACGACATCCGACGCCGACATACGACGTGTGACATTGGCCCTTAAACGGCCAATTTTTACCGTTTAAGCTTCTTAAACTCCGATTAAAAATGTAACTAGCGCCTACTGAAAGTAGTTCTTAACCTAAATTTCTTTAAACACACGTGACAAATAAGGTTAAAGTTATTGAAAATATAAAAAGAAAGGAATTTATACTAAAAATACAAGGCTACGAACTAGATTTTATAAATAAAAAAACATGGCAGATTTGTTTAATTTTTTACTGTCATCATCTGATGATGCAGATTATCGAGAACCAAACCGTAGAAGAAGAAAAGATTTAAACGGCGCATAAATTATATTTAACAATTAGACGACATTGAATTTAAAATGCGATTTAGATTAAACAAACAGTCAGTTCGATTAATATTGGAAGAAATAAGAGAAGAATTGGAGTTTTTTACTAACAGGTAAGTTAAAATTATTGTTTAATTAAATACATAAGCATTTTGATAGATAATATAATATTTTAGAAGCAATGTCGTATCTCCTATGAAAGAACTGCTGTTAACACTTCGCATTTATGCGACTGGATCATTTTTATAGTGTTTTTCACTGGCAAGTGCTCACTTAGTGCACATTAAAGTCGTTGTACACTATTCTAATCTGATATTAAAATAAAATATCTCAATTGATAAAATGCCTATTGTGTATTTTGTCAAATAACACAATAAAATATATTGAAGATTTTACAGTTTTACTCATTTTTTTATTTTTATTAAACATATATTTCTATGTTGATTTGTGTACAAAGGCATTAAAGTACACTGACAATGAGTGTGCACTAACTCTGCCATTGAAAAACGCTATTAATAACGATTGGTGATTTTTCTGGCGTAAGCACGCACATTTTCTGTACAATATATAGAGTGAGTCAAGCTATTATCAGGTTACGACCCCGTTATATTCACTTTCCAACAACAGAGCAGGAAATAAGAAAGGAACAATTACAATTTTACAATATTGCACGCTTTCCAAGGGTCATTGGTTGTATTGATTATATACATGTACGTGTCCAGTCTTTTGGTAAGTTTTACTTATATATATGTATACGTATATATATGTGTATACAACTTCGATTACATATATATATTTTATCTTTGTTTTATGTATAAAAAATAGATTTTTTTTATTATTATTATATTTTTCTACTTTGATTATATATTAAAGGTGGAAAAAATGCTGAATTGTTCAGCAACAGAAAAGGTTACTTTTCTTTAAATACTCAAGTAGTTTGTTTTTAATAGCAATCTAGAAATAACAAATATAGTTGCTCGTTGGCATGGTTCCATACACGATAGCACTATATTTAATAACTGTCGCTTGAGAGCAAATTTTGAAAATGGAGTATATGATAATGGGTTATTGTTAGGAGACTCTGCCTATCCCATAAAAAAATATCTTGTAACTCCGTTATTAACTCCACAATCTGCAGCAGAACGACTGTATAACGAGTCACATATTCGTACTCGTAATATAATAGAGCGTTTGTTTGGTATTTGGAAGAGATTTTCTATTTTAGGAATGCGTTACCAATTACGCAGAGTAATGACTATCATTATTGCAACAGCAGTACTCCATAATATCGCCAGACAGAATGATGATGTAGAACCAGATATCGACCCAGATTTAAATTTACCTGCACCATGGGATCATATGTTAACAGCTTGTAACGTCGCGACGTTCATATTCATTTTTATATATAATGATTTTATATTTGCTAGATTATATAATTTAATATTAGTATATATCAATAAATGTATAAATTATTAAATATTATAAGAATATTTCTTCTTTTCAGTTTGTTATAATTAAGAATATCAGAAAAGAAGAGAGATATTTTATGCTTATGTTTATTAATGTAATAATATATAATAAAACGAGTACTTATACTTCAAAGTTATGGTCAACCGTTGCTCTGGACTAAATGCTCGATGGTTTGATTTAATCAAGAAAGGCTTTGTCATTTCTAACAGAAGGTCAAAAGTTTCTCTACTCATTCTTACATATCGAAAAAATATATCTTTGACATTATATCGTAACTCTTGAAAGAGATGCTTATGATCACGATATAAAGAACGAGCAACATTGATGAGTCTCACCCACCATCTGCGATTTAACCATTTCCTTTGTCGATTCCTTTTTTGTAACAAGGCCAATAAACACAATTGTAAAATCGAGAAAATGAAGAATCATTATCGTCCACATTCCTTTATATCCGACAAAAGTTTAATATCTAAAATATATATAGATAAGAAATAACTATACATATTTTTCATTTTATTGATTTGATTTCGTAAGTAACAATAAAAAATTCAGGTCTTCTGTCAATACTTACTTCCAGATATATTTTAACAGGATTCGAACCGAAGTCTCATGTCTTATCCGCTGGATAACTACCTTGCCGCAAAGTCACACAGCCTTTTGAAGTGTTTGATTGACCAATCAAAAGAAAGAATTTTACAAATTAACCAATCAAGAAACGCTTCAAAGTATTCGTAGTGGCAACTGGACCGCACCCAATAAATGTATCATTAAAATCTCTATCCGAGAGTTCATCATGTCTTGATGGTTCATCAGTTCCATCAAGCCCGGCTTTACCTAGTACATCAAATGCCAAGAAGAGACGTGCTCGAAGCATATCGGTAGAACCACAAAACACTAAACAAATACATGAAGCTGACAAATTTGATAATTTGTTCAATGAATTTATTCAACCGCGCAGTGAAGAACAAGCCTTCTGCAGTTTCTTACAGTCTAGATTAGAAAGACTACAGAAGAAATATTATATGCGTATTACACATATGATATTGCAGGAAGTAATGAAAATTGAATTGGAACAATCTGAAAGTCAGTATTTGTATGACTAAACATTTTCATTTAGGTATAGTCATTGGTAGTCATTTAGAAAGTCATAATATACAGGGTGTTTGAGAAGTAATGAAACATATCCCGTATAGGGAGTAGAACGGACTGAACTGAGAAGAAAAGTCCTGTACCATTTTACAATTGTCGCAATAGTTAACGAGATATTAATTTATAAAAATATCCAAATTCGCCCGGCCCATCGTCAAATACAAGCGCGCGGCTGGATAAATATCTCGTTAACTATTACAATTGTAAAATGGTACAGGACTTTTCTTCTCAGTTTAGTCCATTCTATCCCTATGCGGGATATATTTCATTATTTCTCAAATCCTGTATAAGTAGATATAATAGTATGAATGACTGAACTTTTCTTTTTATATAATAAAGTTATAGTATATAAGTAGATATTGTATGACTAAACTATAAGTAGATATTGTGTAACTGAACTTTATTTTGTTATAACAAAAACATTATATATAATAAACACAAATATATAACACAATCAAAGTTATTTATATAAAACATTATATATAATAAACACAAGTTTCTTTAACGTATCAGATCCCATTGCCACGGAACAGCTTCAATATCGAGAAAATAATTTTTGAAGCTCTCTCTCACAATTGCTGCATTTCGAGAATGAGTATTACTTCCTACTCCTTTTATCGACTGAAGTCCTTCTCGTATTTCTTGGCGCCATTCACCAGGATTTATTGTTCCATCTGTCTGTACTGAGTCAGCAAAACCTGGCCTGCAATACAGTGATTTATTCATTAAGAAATTATGCAGCACTACACAAGCTTTAACAATTTTTTCTGCAGTTTGTAAAGACGTATTTATCGGTCCTTCCAAAATTCTCCATCGTGCCACCATTATACCGAAGGCGTTTTCAACGACTCTCCGAGCTCGACTTAACCGATAATTAAAAATTCTTCGGTCATAAGTATTTTTCCTGGATATGGTCTCATTGTATAATTGGTCAGCTGAAACGCCTCATCTGCTACCAATACATATGGCATTGGATCTCCGTTCTCGACTATCAGGGAAGGTAGAGGTACATTAAGTTTATCATCAGCAAATAGTTGTCCCATGAGAGAATTCTTGAATACTCCCCCATCACTATGACGACCTTCAGCTCCAATGTCGACAAGAAGAAATCGATATGATGCTGAAGCCACGGCCATTAAATTTATGCTGTGACTTCCTTTATAGTTGTAAAACGTTGATCCCGATTTTGGTGGTGCCTAAAAATTAAAATATTTATTTATTAAACTTATATCACATGTATATTAATAAAACTTACGCTAGTATCGATATTTTACATAAACTATTTAATATCATTTTTTATATAAATTTACAAATACATTTACCTTCACAACAACGTGCTTCCCGTCTATAGCACCTATACAATGTGGAAAGTTCCAGTGTGTATAGAACTCTTTCGCAATTTCCTTCCAGTTATCTTCTGACGGTATAAACATTTCATTTTTCAGCGCTTGCCATAAGTACACATGTGTCAGCGATAATTGTTGAAACAGTGCTACGTCCTATGCGAAATGCAAAAGCAATAGAAGCCATTTTATCTCCTGTGGCTAAGTATCTGCATGTAATTGAAAAATCAATATTTTACATAATTAGTTCTTAATAATTATTAACGTTCATTTTAATAAACTTACCTTAATGTCAAGTATAACTTTATGCGAAGACAAATAGGTTCTCTAAAATTAGTTTGTGTTTTTTGTAAAGAAGGTCCAACAATTCTAAATAATTTGTCGAAGACGTCGACTGTCATACGGCAATACTTGAAATGTAAATCAATGTCTTGAAACCGCATCTCATTAATGAGATGTTCACCATCTCCTTGATTATTCCGACGCTGATTTATCGGACGAACCCACCATCGTCGTCGTCGTCGTCGTACCAATAAATCAAAGTGGCTTTCATCACTTTGTCGTTGTGCCTGGTATTTTAGATACCACATAATTGATAAAAAAAGACGTTTCTGGTGATAATCCATACCAAAATGTCTTATTTTTGCATACAGGCGCAACAGCGTTAAAAAACGATTATGTCTACTAATAGCTGATGCTGATTCCATAACGTACTAAAATAACAAATGTATCTAAGGTTAACAATTTTAGGTTATTTTCTATATTTTTATGGTGCGTTCGGAAAAATGCTATTAACGCTATTTCCATGAAGGAAGATATAAGGAGACTCCACTCGGTCTCGCCAGTCTACAAGACATGAACCCATTTTAGGTTTCGAGTTCCGTTTCCGATTCTCGACACTCGCAGCGCTCGTGAATTTAGTAGTGCTGCGCATAATGAGTGCGAGTAAGTTCTCTTACTCGCACTCATCAGAATCGAAAGCTGAACTCGAAACCTAAAATGGGTCCACTTTTATTTTACGGAGTGGAGTCTCCTTATATCTTACTTCCTGGCTATTTCTATCATTCTATTTTGTTTATTAGACATAAAACAAGTAGGTAAAATGACAGAAATAGCGTCTCCCTGAATGTACTTTACAATTTAATACATACGGTTTCTCAGACCTGGATCTGGGGGTCGATTGTGTGTATCTTGAAATGAGATGAAAATTACCAAAGTGTCCAAATTCACTTCGATCATCGATGCTCTGTGGTCGGCTGGTCGCTCGCCGCTTGTAGCATTCAGTCACATTCAGTATGAACGGACAAAAATTAAAACATCGCGCATCGCTCGTCGCGCATCGCCCATCGCGTCCAGTGTGAACTAGGCTTAACGCAGAACGAGAACAGAACCAATAACGAGCATTCCGTGTTTCTAGAGAATCTCGTGATTGGTTCTACTCTCGTTCCGCGTTAGGCTGGAGTCACATTGAGCGGAAATCTACAGCGGAACGGAACAGCGAGACCAATCACAATCGCAGAAAGTAAAGCAGCGGAATAATTGTAGAGTTCTGATTGGTTTCACTGTTCCGTTCCGCTATAATTTCCGCTCCATGTAACTCCAGCCTTAGGGTCATTATTGTTAGGTACATTATTGACATATCTTTCGATAGCGTGCATAAACACGTCATACGCCGACACGTCAAAGCTTGTGCGTTATTTACGTTTACAACTTAAGTTGTCGTAAAATGTTATGGCAGTGCTTATGCTCAGACCCTTAAGCGGGGAGCACAGACTTTTGCATAACGCATAAACCATATACATAAAGAATTTGATTGGTCCATTGACTCATGCATAAGAAAATGGACCAATGAAATTCCTTATGCACATGCTTTATGCGTTATGCAAAAGTCTGTGCTCCCCGCTTTACGCTATTCCGCTGCATGGATTGCACCCCATATATGTAATACTACTATATGGCTAGATGAGAGAGAAGTCCATGTCCCAGAACCACGGTGCGGGAATATACTTCTCTCTCTTTCTCAGCGTACTTTGAACGTTGTGCGCATGCGTCGGATTCATCCCCTCCATCAATAATAAATAGAAGGATAAATATACATATATGTGTAAGGAAGAAGGAAAAAGTGATTGATTCCGCTTCAGGGTATAACCTTGTTACAGTTAACAGAATCAGTTTAGTCGGAATAAATAAATTAATCCTAATTTTATGAAATAAACTTTTTCAAAATTGCCGTTATGTATATAAGAATACAGTGCAATCCCTTACAGAAATTTCATGATAATCAGTGCAAACTAATACCTATTTCATACCTATGCAAACTAATGTTTTCAGTCGCATTAGGCGCATTAGGCTTTTTGCCACATAAATACCATATCTTGACCATTTTTGCCTGTGTACAACAGCACCCATCTAATAAGCATAACGAGCATAACCTGTTCGCGTCATCTCACTGATCGCACTCTATTTTCCTATTGGCGGATGCAATCAATCCAACGCATGCGCACAACACTCAAAGTACTCTTAGAAAGAGAGGGAAATATATATTCCCGCACCGTGGTTCTGGGACCACTTCCTCTCACTCCCTCTTATAGGCACTACCCATATAGTAGTATTACATATATGTTGCACCCTGACTGCTCCGTTGGCCATTTTGAATCACACAAATTGTCTAAACTTTGATTGGCTGACATACCCCCGCTCCTCTCAATCCACTGCGCATCCACCAGAATGGTTCACCTTCTATACTTCCACCAGGAAGTAAGATATAAGGAGACTCCACTCCGTAAAATAAAAGTGGACCCATTTTAGGTTTCGAGTTCAGTTTCCGATTCTGATGAGTGCGAGTAAGAGAAATGATCATTTCTCTTACTCGCACTCATTATGCGCAGCACTACTAAATTCACGAGCGCTGCGAGTGTCAAAAATCGGAAACTGAACTCGAAACCTAAAATGGGTCCATGTTTTGTAGACTGGCGAGACTGAATGGAGTCTCCTTATATCTTCCTTCATGACTTCCATCTAGAGACCCTCTAACAGAGACTGGCCATCAGGCGAGTCCGGCATTTCCTAGCGAAATCCTACAAGTGAGACAGAAATATAGGCCATTTCACTCTTTCACTCACACGAATATGTGCGTTCGTATGTGATCGTTTATTCAAGTTGATTTGAGTTGATTCAAGGTTATGTTCGTGGTTTTTGCTCAGTACAAAATAATAACAATAAAAATGAGTGGTGCAACCACTTGCACTGCACAATTCTGGAAAAATTATTTAATATCTGTCTTTAGTCAGGTTACGGCTAAACATGTTTTAAATTATCAATTGTTTCCTAAAATTATTAGAAAGTTTGTCGTATTCAAATTAAGAACATTAAGTAAGAAAAATACTAATATTAATAGAAGATATGACAGTAAATCGTTGGTACACACCTTTTTTAAATAAATTTTACAAATGTTAAGTGTTTGTACTTTTGTCACTGATTTCCTAACATAACTTTAATTTTATTTGAAAAAGATTTAATAGAATTAAGAAAGAGAGAATATTAAATATAGAAATTATTTAACGTATAAACAAAAAGAACGAAGACAATATAAGAGTCAATGTTTAAAATTTAATAACAAAGTCAAAAATTAAATCATAAATGTCAAAAAACAGCTATTATAACAAAGTTATTTAAAGATAAAGATGTATATAACTGACGATAAAACTTGACATGTTTTTTTTTATTTAACGTATATTATTTATATTGATGTAAAAAGCACGGTTTTAATATTTCTATAATATTTATCATTACATACTATTTACATTCCAAGTAAATGCAGTAATTGAAATTTCAATACGAGCGGGAATCGCTAGAAAATGGCGGACCAATCAAAAGTGGCCCCCTGATGGCCAGTCTCTGTTAGAGGGTCTCTACTTCCACCATGCCCTTGTCTTTATACCATGCGTCATGCGAAAGATTATAGGCCTTGACTAACCTAACCGATTCAACGACGCTTTTGATTCTTTGGGACCTCTAGGATTTCCATTCTCATAGTATTTTGCTGACACGGGATTTGTTTTCATACGTATATATGTTCTTGCATTCTGGATAATTTAAAAACAATCGTCTGTTATTGTTCATGCATTCGCTCAGGCTTATAATAATGCAGTGAGGGGAATTTATTTGTATTGTTTGTGCAAGAGTTGTAGACGACAATGGCTAATCATTACGAGGTTCCCAACTGGTACGTTTCAGAGTTTCCTTATTTGCGACGTGACTTGATTATTCGAGTCTGTTTGTTTATTGTTTACGCAATCGCATGTTCCGAATTGTTTGTCGTCGCGCAGCAAGATTGACAATGTCTGGCGGTACACTTCATTCGCGTTTTGCAGTACATATTATCAGTACTAAGAATCTAGTATATGTGATGTAAACGATAGATTTTCAGTACTGGCAGTATATATTAGAACATGATTTTTGCGTATATATATTAATCGATAATTTCTTCTAGGGCCGGTAAGCCACCGGTTGGACTGCATTTGGATGTGCTAAAAAACGACAAATTGATACAGGTAAGAGTACATGGTACACTAGCTGTATCTTCAATGATATGTCATTCCCTTGGAATTCTATTATTAGAGCGCATTTGAAAACACTATTTAAGTATCTCCTGAGGAAATAATGTACTTGTTGTTTATTAAATATGAAAGGATAAATAATATTTACAAGCATTGTGAGTACCAAATAAAGTATGCTACTAGTATTATTTTATTTTTATTTAATATTTGATGAATAAAATGACACTTGTCAAATAATATTTTTGAATGTAGCCTTATTTGTGTGAGTTAAAGGTCAATTATGTCTTGAAATGAGGTAAAAATTACAAAAACGAGCAAATTTATTAGGTATTTATCAATGAAATTATATTATAAATATTATAAGTAAATTTACTTATTTTTGATATTTTTACGAAGTTGTTTGTTACACGATCGAATCCTTATATGAACTGAGTGTCACATAGATCCTACTTTACTAGAAACTTATGGTGGATGAGAAGAAGTGTTATCTATTTGGCCGCAATCAACAACTGAATGACTTCTGCATTGATCATGCGTCTTGTTCTCGCGTTCATGCAGCTCTTGTTTATCACAAGCATCTGAATCGGGCATTTTTAGTTGATCTGGGAAGTAGTAAGTATAGAGCTTATACTGTACAGTGCTAATATATAGATTGTGTTTGACTTGGACGCTTTTAATGCTTTCAGTGCTTTTATCTGTGTTTTATGTCTACTAAATAACAAAAACAGATTAATGATTTTAAAACGTGTGAGTGACCAAATCAAACACAGTCATCTTTCAAGAAAGATTTTTAATTAAAATTAAATATCTAAAGTTCTCTTTTTTTTAATAGATTGTAAAATCAATTTTAATACATTTCTATCTATTATTTCTTGAACAGCACCTTTTTAATCTTTTTTCTACACACACACACATACACACACAGCAGTGGCGTAACTTCAAAATTTAGGCCCGGGTGCATAACCTCTTGAAGGGCCCTCCCATACGGAAGATTGTTTAACCAAAAAAAGAAAAGGTTTTTTCTAACCCTTTAAAGGCGTTTATACATTTAAAAACGTTTTTTTTTTTTTTTACGTTTTAACACATTCTCTCCACATTGGGCCTGTTATTGAAGAAAGTAGTTATAATACATTTTTCTTAATAATCAAGCGACGCGGTAGCGTCGCGACGCCAAGTGCATAAAATAAAAATATAACCGTTTGACTGCTTGACATGATCGCTTGACTTGATTGATGCGTGTATATGTTCATGTCGCTGTCAATTCACGACGCTACTACTAGCTTTATCTCGAGTTTTACATCTTCAAACTTTAGATTAAAATTACTCAGAATTTAAAAGCCCAATCAAAAATCTAAAAACACTTTTATTACATAATGTCATCGGTATCTTTTGATTGCGACCAGTTCGAATAAAATTGGTGCAGCCGATACCGAGATCTAGAGACCGAGTTCCGAAAAGGGACCGTTTTAGTTATTTCAGAAGACGTACGTGTGACACATGTATTTTTTAATCGTACGTGTGACATATATATGTAAACCAGTTTGTCCATTAGGCTGCTGTTCACAATGTCTACATTCAAAAAACAGTCATCATATGTCATTAAGCTGCTGTTTCTAATAAAAATATAAAAATTTAATTTAATTATTAATTAAATAAAT